GATGATCCTTCTACTGCACATGACCTCCCTCAAGGGTACTTCCCATAAGCATTGTCCTCCTGCTGTTCCTAGATGCGCAACATCCGATGGAGTAGACAATAACCGAGCACGATGAGGAAGACAATGTTGATGATGGCCACCTTCTCCAATCAGCTGACTTGGTCCAAGTCCAGCTTTGCATGACTGGCAGTCGTAGCACAGCACATTTGGGTCGTTCGACCACGTTGTACAATCAGGATTGGTTGAATGTGGCCGCTGCCAGTCCATTTGTTGGCCACATATGTAAAGCCGCAATCGTTTGATGGCTTACAGCAACCAGACTGCATACAAAGAACAAATCAATTTGGTAATCAACACACCATTTTTCAGAGGCCCTAATGAATATACAACAGAACATAAAAAAAAAAAAAAGGAGCTTGACCAAAATAACCACAATTTAGACATAATAATATAAAATATTCTTCATAAATATTGATACTTTTTCAATTTCACACCAACTCTCTAAAGTCAATCAATTTGATGAGCATAAGTATAGCAACTAAAGGCCAACTGGAGAAAGCAACATCCAGTTCCAAGATGGCTCTTGGTAAGACGTCAACATCTATGCTTTAATAATTTTAAAAAAAAAAAATTCCCAGAATCAATCCTACTCCTATCTAGTCTAATTTTTTATTATAAATCCCTCAGATATAAACCAGAAAAACACAATTGTTTAAACTCATTATTGAAACCCAGATCAAAATTCAATAAAAATTTGAGCAAAATTGTGTATGAAACTGAACCTAAAACTCAAAGATCTCCACACAATACATAAACCCCATCAAGCTTACAAACTTTCTCAAGGAAACCAATTCAGAGTCCAAAGATTCAAACTTTTAACAGTAAGATTGAATTCAGAGTGCAAGATTCAATTTTTATTGAAGAAAAATAAAGAACAGATCCAATTAAAGTAGTACCTGACGGAAGACAAGTTTTCCAAGTAAAACTTCTCAGCATGTCATTTAAATACTTACTAGAAAAGCTTGTACAAACTTTGCTATCAGCCAAACAACTCCTAATCTTGTTCCAGTTACTGGTACATTCACTCTTTTCTCTGCAACCAGTTCGAGTATCTCCAATCTGTACTCTTTATACCCCTATCGGACAAGGCTTGGCCGGCGCCTTTGTTGGTGACAACGAAGGCGAAGATGGTAAAGCAAAACAAGGCCACAATCAACAAGAACATGACCAACAAGTAGACCCAGAGGAGCCAAGGACTTTGCAGCACGAGCCGATCAAACCGGCCAAAGAAACCACCAGAGAAACACTCCGAGAAAATCACCGGCTTGTCGAGGAACTTCTCGCACTCTAAGCGCCATGTTTGAGAGCCAAATTCCGGCCCAAGAGGGGAATTGAGAGGAGGAAAGTGGGATTTTGATAAGTCCGATCAAGTTATTGCTCAACGAAACATTGTGAAAAGAAAAAACCCATCAGGAGGACGAAAAGTTGGCGAAAGATCGAAGCTTTAGGGAGAAAAAGAAGGCGGAGTGAGGGATTTGGAGTTGGAAGGTGGATTATATGGTTGTGAAGATTGGGTTTTTATTCGAGTAACTGCAGAGAAGGTTCTTCTTGTAGAGAGAGAGAGGTGCTGGTAGTTAATATTTGAGGAAGAGTTGCTGGGGTTGCACACGTCTTTGGTGACCTTTGATTAGGACACGTGTCGTGTTGGAAGTTTCTCCAAATGAACGCGTGGGTTTAGAATTTCGAAGTTTCTCCAAACACGGGTATTTATTTTTAACACTAAATAAAAATCTTAACTCTATAGAAAAATTAGATTATTTTTTATTTTATTTAATGTGTAGAATTAATTATGGAAAATTTTTAAAGTATAAGTATGCTTGCTTGGAGAGTTGTGATAATAATGGATTTCCTATTTAAAGAAACATTAGTGAGAAGAGATTTTTTACCACTTCATTATAGGAAAAAAAAAATCTTGTTTTTCATTATTAGAAAATATCAAAGAAGCAACCTAATGTTGAATTGGTTATATATTAAAGAAAATTTCCACTATTATATAATAATATAATATTAAATATACATTAATATTTTCAAATTTTAAACATCAAAATTTTAACGCAGATTTAAAAATAAAAAATTAAGTACTAGATTCAAAATAAAAAGTTAATTAATTAAATAAATAAATAAACCTCCACTTTAACTCACTTTCCAAACAAAGTTAAAAGCCTTTACATGACCAAACTTTATGGTCAAACTTGAATTAATTACGGTCAAATCCTCATCGGTAACAGTATTGAACATGCCTCTGATGCCAATTAAAAACGTGAGAGTGACTGTCACAATTCAATTTTACGCATTCCTGTGACGTCAGAAAACAAGAGACGTTATTATTTATCCGCTTCCCAAGTTCCCAACGTCTCTGAACTGGAGGAGTAGTGATCACCAGTGCGCTTGCCCGTGATAAGTTTTGTTACTTTCCACGTGGCGAGATCTGTGCGTCTGAAATATTCTAATATCTTTGATTAGCCGCCACTTCAGCTTTGATTAGGTCACTCAAGTACCGTAGACGCGTGTTCCTTTTAATAAGCGAATCGAAGTTGATCAAGTTTGAAATTTGAATAATTTTGAAATGTTCAAAAGAATTATTTATTTCTTTTTTTATTTTTTAATTGAGTTTTAAAAGGGTGGTTAATAATTAATTACTAAATCCTAAGCTGTATTAATGAACATATGAGATGCTAGGAACAAAATCCCAAGTTGGTTTCACATTAAATTTTAATTTATTTTATTAATAATTATTAAATCCATATGGGTTTAAGAGATATTTGTAAAAAAAAAAATGTATAATTAAATATACAATAATATTAAACATACAAATAAATTTCACGAAAGGTTTTTATAAATAATGATATGATAAAATAAAAAAAAGAATAAATACAAAAAGTCAAATTCATCATATTTTTATATTTATATCATTAAACAATTTTAAGATATTATAACATTGTGTTATTAAAAAATCTCATCAAGTCAATAAGTAAAGAGATGATGAATCTGTCAACAAATTTTCATTCAAATTATTTTTTATGGGCTTTATAAAATTTTGGTTTAGATTTTAAAACAATACATACAAATATCCACAACTTAAAGTTCTATCACAAATATATATAGAAAGTTATACTATATGTTAAAATCTTTTATATAGGATCTGATGTGATATAAAATAAATAAATGATTTCAAGCTAAAATTAAATAAATAATAAAAGTTATACCATAACTTATTTTTTATAAGCCACATGATATAATAGTAAATGAGATATCTCATTTACTGTTGCAACCGCGTGACTTGCCGACCATTACAAAAGAGTTCCACAAATATCAAAATTCACTAATGAATGTGTCGAAAATAGATAATAGAAAGGACAATTGACTTGAAATGTGGATGTATACACTGCAGATGGGAATAAGTCAAGATAAGATAATTGTTTATGTTCACTTCACAAATATCAAGGAGACAAATGAAGACTTGTCTTGTTCTAAGTTTCACAACACCTAATTTGTGGGCCACCTACTGCTTCTTGTCTTTCTCATCTCTTTGATCATTCTTCTTCAATCCACTAATGGTAGGGTCAATTTAGGAAAAAAAAATTTATATTTACAGGTGTTATATGATCCTCATCATGTTATGCTATTGAGGGGGATGATTTAGTCAAATCTCCCATTATGATTACATGATTCATATAAAAGGACACTATATATAGGGTAGGGCCGTTGAAAAATTACTTAATCCTTGATATTTTGAGAAATTGTGAAGTCTATATACTCCCATAATTTCTTTAAAATTACCAAAAGTTTCATGCATAAAGATATTTAATGCTTGTTCTCCGTAAACACGACGTCGTGGTGCCCTTTGAATTAGGACACGTGTGTGTTGGAAGTTTCTCCAAATGAACGCGTGGGTTTAGAATTTCGAGTTTCTCCAAAACGGGATATTATTTTTAAAACATAAATAAAAATGCTTTAAACTCTTATAGAAAAATTAGATATTTTTTATTTTATTTAATATGTGTAGAATTAATTATGGAAATTTTTAAAGTAATAAGAATGCTTGCTTGGAGAGTTGTGAATATAAATGGATTTCCTATTTAAAGAAACATTAGTGAGAAGAGATTTTTTACCACTTCATTATAGGAAAAAAAAATCTTTGTTTTCATTATTAGAAAATATCAAAGAAGCAACCTAATGTTGAATTGGTTATATATTAAAGAAAATTTCCACTATTATAATAATAATATAATATTAAATAACATTAAGAATATTTTCAAATTTTAAACATCAAAATTTAACCGCATTTAAAATAAAAAATTAAGTACTAGATTCAAAAATAAAAGTTATTAATTAAAATAATAAATAAACTCCACTTTTAAACTACTTTGTGGCCAGGATAATTCCTACGCAGAGAATTGGCAATGAGAGGAGAAATGTTGCCACATTGACGAGTGCTAGCAAGCCGTTACTGCAGCTGACCATTGTGGCAAAATTTCAAAGGTAGAAAACAGATTGTTTTTGTTTTGTTTTGATTTGATTTGATTTGGTTGAAACCGAAATGCAAGATATTGGTATTTGATATTATGAATTTGCCTAAATGGGATTATTAAACTGATTTGCCTTAATGGGATTATTAAATTTAGGGTGTCAAATCTTCCCTGCTTACGTCCCCATTTCCCGTTCTTTACAATACCAACTTAGAACTTGATATGTGGTGAAAAATTGAATCCAAATGAGGAATCTTGTACTTGAAGAACGGACCCACACAGTTATGGGTAGCAGGGGCTAATGACCCCACTCAAAAAATTTGTTAGTTTGGTTTTCTGTTTTATTAGATTGTATTAATAATATTTCTAGGTGTAACCTTACTCATCTACTTTATATATTTAATGAGAATTCTCGTCTTCATGTTCAATGTTGCAAGAAATGACCTCTTAAGCATAACCAATGTACAACAGTTAACAGCAGCAGATATAGAAGTTATATATAAACTCCAAACAAAAGAAAGATTACAGAGATCCAATATGTTCTAATAACAAGCAAAAATAATCCACATCAAAAGCTATACAATAACCAAAACAAATTAATAACAACAACAATATAAACCAGAGTCACTTCTAATAACAAGAAGCCTAATTACTACTACTAGAAGAAGAAATATATGATGATCCTTCTACTGCACATGACCTCCCTCAAGGGTACTTCCCATAAGCATTGTCCCTCCTGCTGTTCCTGAATGCGCAACATCCGATGGAGTAGACAATAACGAGCACGATGAGGAAGACAATGTTGATGATGGCCACCTTCTTCCAATCAGTCTTGACTTGGTCCAGCAGTCCAGCTTTGCATGACTGGCAGTCGTAGCACAGCACATTTGGGTCGTTCGACCACGTTGTACAATCAGGATTGGCTGAAGTTGTGCCACTGCCAGTCCAATTTGTTGGGCCGACATATGTAAAGCCGCAATCGTTTGATGGCTTACAGCAACCAGACTGCATACAAAGAACAAATCAATTTGGTTAATTCAACACCATTTTTCAGAGGCCCTAATGAATATAACAACAGAACATATAAAAAAAAAAAAAAAGGAGCTTGACCAAAATAACCACAATTTAGACATATGATAAAATTAATTCTTCATAAATATTGATACTTTTTCAATTTCACACCAACTCTCTAAAAGTCAAATCAGATTTTGATGAGCAATAAGTATAGCAACTAAAGGCCAACTGGAGAAAGCAACATCCAGTTCCAAGATGGCTCTTGGTAAGACGTCAACATCTATGCTTTAATAATTTTAAAAAAAAAAAATTCCCAGAATCAATCCTACTCCTATCTAGTCTAATTTTTTATTATAAAAATCACTCAGATATAACCAGAAAAACACAATTGTTTAAACTCATTATTGAAACCCAGATCAAAATTCAATAAAAATTTGAGCAAAATTGTGTATGAAACTGAACCTAAAACTCAAAGATCTCCAACAAATACATAAAACCCAAATCAAACTTACAAACTTTCTCAAGGAAGACCAAATTCAGAGTCCAAAGATTCAAACTTTATACAGTAAGATTGAATTCAGAGTGCAAAGATTCAATTTTTATTGAAGAAAAATAAAGAACAGATCCAAATTAAAGTAGTACCTGAACGGAAGACAAGTTTTCCAAGTAAAACTTCTCAGCAGTGTCATTTAAATACTTACTAGAAAAGCTTGAACAAACTTTGCTATCAGCCAAACAACTCCTAATCTTGTTCCAGTTACTGGTACTATTCACTCTTTTCTGCAACCAGTTCGAGTAATCTCCCAATCTGTACTCTTTATACCCCCTATCGGACAAGGCTTGGCCGGCGCCTTTGTTGGTGACAACGAAGGCGAAGATGGTGAAGCAAAACAAGGCCACAATCAACAAGAACATGACCAACAAGTAGACCCAGAGGAGCCAAGAGACTTTGCAGCACGAGCCGATCAAACCGGCCAAAGAAACCACCATGAGAAACACTCCGAGAATAATCACCGGCTTGTCTAGGAACTTCTCGCACTCTGAAGCGCCATGTTTTGAGAGCCAAATTCCGGCCCAGAGGATGGGAATTGAGAGGAGGAAAGTGAGGATGTTGAGAATGCCGATCAAGTTATTGCTCAAACGAAACATTGTGAAAAGAAAAAACCCAGGTCAGAGGACGAAAAGGGTGGCGAAAGATCGAAGCTTTAGGGAGAAGAAGAGAAGGCGGAGTGAGGGATTTGGAGTTGGAAGGGTGGATTTATATGGTTGTGAAGAGTTGAGTCTTTATTCGAGTAACTGCAGAGAAGGTTCTTCTTGTAGAGAGAGAGGGTGATGGTAGTTAATATTTGAGGAAGAGTTGTTGGGGTTGCACACGTTTTTGGTGACCTTTGAATTAGGACACGTGTCGTGTTGAAAGTTTCTCCAAATGAACGCGTGGGTTTAGAATTTGGAAGTCTCTCCAAACACGGGATATTTATTTTTAAACATAAATAAAAATGCTTAATCTCTTATAGAAAAATTAGATTATTTTTTAAGAATTTTTTTATTTTATTTAATATGTGTAGAATTAATTATGGAAAATTTTAAAAGTAATAAGTAATGCTTGCTTGGAGAGTTGTGAATTAAGCGAAATCGTTTTAAAGGAAGAATAATAAATGGATTTCCTATTTGTGGTCACTTTCAAACAAAGTTAAAAGCCTTTACATGACCAAACTTTATGGTCAAACTTGAATTAATTACGGTCAAATCCTCATCGGTAACAGTATTGAACATGCCTCTGATGCCAATTAAAAACGTGAGAGTGACTGTCACAATTCAATTTTACGGACCTTCCTGTGACGTAGAAAACAGAGACGTTATATATTTATCCGCTTCCCAAGTTCCCACACGTCCTTGAACTGGAGGATGTGATCACCAGTGCGCTTGCCCTGATAAGTTTTGTTACTTTCCACGTGGCGAGATCTGTGCGTCTGAAATATCTAATATCTTTGATTAGCCGCCACTTCAGCTTTGATAGGTCACTCAAGTACCGTAGACGCGTGTTCCTTTAATAAGCGAATCGAAGTTGATCTAGTTTGAAATTTGAATAATTTTGAAATGTTCAAAAGATTATTTATTTTTTTTTTTAATTTTTTAATTGAGTTTTTAAAAGGGTGGTTAATAATTAATTACTAAATCCTAAGCTGTATTAATGAACATATGAGATGCTAGACAAAATCCCAAGTTGGTTTCACATAAATTTTAATTTATTTTATTAATAATTATTAATCCATATGGGTTTAGAGATATTTGTAAAAAAAAAAATGTTAATTAATATACAATAATATTAAACTCACAAAAAATTTCACGAAAGTTTTATAAATAATGATATGATAAAAAAAAAAAAGAATAAATACAAAAAGTCAAATTCATCATATTTTTATATTTATATCATTTTAAGATATTATAATTTATGTTATTGAAAAATCGCATCACGACAAAATTATGATGAATCTGTCAACAATTTTCATTCAATTATTTTTTATGGGCTTTATAAAAATTTTGGTTTAGATTTTAAAACAATACATACAAATATCTCCGACTTAAGTTCTATCACAAATATATATAAAAGTTATACTATATGTTAAAATCTTTTATATAGGAATCTGATGTGATATAAAATAAAAAATGATTTCAAGCTAAAATTAAATAAATAATAAAAGTATACCATAACTTTATTTTTTATAAGCCACATGATATAATAGTAAATGAGATATCTCATTTACTGTTGCAACCGCGTGACTTGCCGACCATTACAAAAGAGTTCCACAAATATCAAAATTCACTAATAATGGTCGAAAATTGATAATAGAAAGGACAATTGACTTGAAATGTGGATGTATACAATCACATGGGAATAATCAGATAAGATAATTGTTTATTTCACTTCAAAATATCAAGGAGACAAATGAAGACTTGTCTTGTTCTAATTTCACAACACTAATTTGTGGTCCACTACTGCTTCTGTCTTTCTCATCTCTTGATATTTTTTCTCCATCTACAATGGTAGGGTCAATTTAGGAAAAAAAAATTATATTTACAGGTGTTAATGATCCTCATCATGTTATGCTATTGAGGGGGATGATTTAGTCAAATCTCCCATTATGTTACATGATTCTATAAAGGACACTATATATAGGGAGGGCCGTTGAAAAATTACTTAATCCTTGATATTTTGAGAAATTGTGAAGTCTATACTCCCTAATTTCTTTAAAATTACCAAAAGTTTCATGCATAAGATATTTAATGCTTGTTCTCCGTAAACCCATTTGAATTATTATTATTTTTTTTTTTTTTTGTTATGATTAAGGATATTCGAGTCAATTTATACGTATTTTAACTAATTTTTTTAACCCTATCATATAAACCTTTTAAGTCATAATTAACTCTCGACTATGAAAAGTCCATAAACCCACTTGATATTGTATTTGATTCTTCATTTCTCTAGAGTGGTTGGGGTTGTGGTGGTCAAAATAGTAATATTCTGAACAGCCCCTCTGGGTACAATATTCTCATCCTCAATTCTGATGGCCCCCGCCCATTCTTTGATGATTCCTTCCTACAAAAAAAAAAAAATAAAGTAAGAATAGAATCGTTTGTCTTCTCTGGTTTCTTGCCTTTTCTGTTCATTCTCTTTATTTATTCTTTGGAAGTACAGCCACGCTGATAAAGGTTGACAGTCCTTTCACGATCAGAAGCCACTTACTTTCATATAATTTTATATTTCCTTTGAGAGTCCTTTTAATAAAAGATTTATTGTTTCTTAGAACAATTATAATGCTTTCGTAGACACTGATTGTGATGAAATAACAATTTATACAATTCTTACAGGCAACAACTATCAGGGAATCAATTTTATTTCCTATTATGTTTTGTATGATAACTTGTTGAAAAATGGTTGCAGAAAAGAGAAGTCGGTGGCGGTAATTGGGTTAAATGACATACCACAATATGCATCCCATCGTTTCCTACCAACAAGACTCAAAAGTGTTACTTCTAGGAAATGACTCTCTTGAGTGAAATTTTAGAAGAAACATCATCTCCTTTTCTAGTTTTCTAAAACTTTTTCGATTCAGTATTCAATGAACCACAATTCAAAGTGAGTTAAACAAAATATCAAAGATTTCAATTGCAAAGCTTGCGTTATGAAAAAAGCCCGGTTTGCAAACCTACTAGTCTTTAGGCCTGGGTTTGGTTGATTTGAGAGGAGGCTTTTAACATTTACTTTTAATGGACCGATGTAGTTTTCTGAGGCATTTTAAAATTTAAAGGGGGTTGTATGTATCTTTACTGTGCGGTTAACTGATTTAGTGGTCGGCCTGAGTATACCGAAACTTGATTTTCCTCCGGGTGTAATTTACACCAGCGGTCCAAACCCGGCCATCCGGTACAACTGCTAGTTTCTCTTATGAGGGCATCTCCAACCCACACTAAAACACCAAAATGGTGTGAAAATATGTTCTAACCCAACGCCAAACACTACACAAAATTGGTGTAAATAAATAGTATCACGCCAAATTAACTAAGATGTGTAAGTGAATAATGTCACACTAATTTGGTGTGATACTATCATATATGAAATATATTTTATTTTTTATTTTTGTTATTTATATTTAGTTAATTTGATTATTTTATATATATTTAATAATAAATTCATAATAATTATTAATTCAAAATGATGAAAAATAAAAAATGATTGTATGTTGAGCATCGATTGAATCGATAAAGCGCCAACTCCCGAAGTTGAAATTGTCGAGATGAAAATGTCCTGTTCAAAATTTTCTTGCTCGACATAGACAAATAAGGATCCAGAGGCTCACCATCCCTTCGAAATGCATTAATTATCATTGTAAAGATATACTAATTCGAAAATTAAATTACATCTATATAGAATTTTACTTTTGTATTGTTGTTGTCTTTTTTTTTTTTTTTTTTTTTTTTTGGTGGCTTTTATATTAGATGTATTTTTTTTCTATATTAAATGTAATGTTTATTTGATTAAATAATGCTTAATTTATTAAATTAGTATAATTTTTAAAATAATTATTATTTAATAAAATATATGTTAGAGTCATGAAAGTGACTCTATTTTGGTGATAAAAATACCCTATGTGTGATTAATGAAATCATATTGAGATAATTAAAGAATTTTTGAATTTATTCACGAAAATCGTTCCTAATATTTTCTTATAATTTAACATTGTTTGAATGATTTGGAAATGGTATGAGTTGATATTAGTTTGTGGTTATGGATTAGAAGTGATTTTGTCTCTTTATGTTGTTTGGGGGTAAACTGTCATATTATAAGGGTTGATTTTGTCACTTTTCAATCATATAGGGACCAAAGTGATATTTTTCACATTGTGTATAAAAAGAAAGTGAAGGGTCCGCAAATCTGTTGCCGTTCATCCATCCACAGTGTCATTTTCAGCATCGCTTCGTCTCCCTTTTCCAGTGACCTCGGCAACGGTTGGGCTTCCCCTTCACCGGTCACATCACCACCGCAAATCATACCGCATTTTCCGGTGACTTTTGCATTCCACCAACCGCGATTTTGCCATTTTTTGGCGCACCTCCGGAGACGTTTCGCCTCCCGTTGGCTGATCTTCTCTCCCCACGGCCGGATCTATCCATTCCAGCTTCAGCCAATGCCAAAACCACCGAAATCCACCATCACCACCGTCGCTCCTCTTCACCTTCCAGCCGCGATCTCTCCCATTTCCGGTGACCTTTCATCTCCCCATACCTAATCTAAACTCCCCATCACCAGAGCTTTCCAGCGTACCTTCGGATCCCATTTTTGCCACCATTCCGGAAGACCCACCAAAAATTTCATCGATACCTTGGGATCCCATTTCTACCACCATTTTCCGGAAGACTCGCCGGAAAATTAAAGTTTTCCGGCAGTGCGACTGTTCGTATTCCGGCTGTCCGTTGGTCGTTTTCGCCCATTTTTCGCATCATATCGTTGTCGGTTACTTCCTCTCCACCATGATCAGCTTCGTTTTCACCTTTCAGCCTCCGTCATCACCACTATGAGCGGCTGAGTTCCGGTTGTTTGTTATGACATAAGCGAGATCGAGATTGACTCCACGACTCTACTCATCAGCTCTCGACTAGTTGGTAAGCCTGATTATAGGACTTTTGGTAGTATTGTGTTTCGAATTATTGTTTTCGTTTCATGTTTGATTTCGTACTTAATATGGTTTGAGTATAATTTTTGATGAATATTGTTGTCCATTGTGATTAATGTTTTCATAGAACTCGCTGATGATAACGT